CCCGGCCGCCGTTGCCTCTCCCTGCCGCCGGGCCGGGGGTGCGCGGCCTCGGGCTGCCTGAGCCGGCGTGATTCAGCGTTTCTCAAGCAATACCTGTGTAGATCCCCCCCGCGCCCCCCGCCTCCATTCCAGTACACCTTTCAGCCCCGAGAACGGCGCCCATGATTTTTGCTTCCCAGCCCTCCTCGTCTCCGGCATCTGCTCCTCATCCGAAGTCTCCAGCATCCTCACCGTGCCGCCCTGCGAGGGTGTATTTTATTTTCTGCCCTGCTCCCGCCGCGGAGCCCGCAGCAGTCTCCAGGGAGAAAGCAGCAGCAGGGGGAGGGTGACGCCTCGCCCACCAGCGCCTCTCCCCGTAGCGGGAGCACCCCCGGGGGATGAACACCCGCACCTCGGGAAGAGCCGGGCCGTTGTAAGGACTGCAAAGCGTCGTCAGCACTCACTGTTACTCTTACGCTAATAGATCACCTATCCATCGCCTTTGAGCATAGTCTAAATATATAAAATCTAGTACAAGTAGGCTTAAGTTACACACAGGCACACAGTTCCAGCAAGGTTATCATCAGCGTGCCGCAAACCTGTTTTATCTTCACGCTCTAAGGCAACTAATTGACACCGTATTGTGTATCTATAAGCTCCCAGAGAAGCATGTCTGTGGTCAGGGGACGTGGAACCAGGCTTGCAAGAACTTGGACCAAATTCAATCCTGTAATATAAATATACATGTTACTGCAACCATAGTAATATCTTCAGAGTAATACAGAAACCTGCTATAAAATAGACAGTGGTAGAACGGGAGTGTGTCAAGAACAGAAATGTTTCTGTTTATTTAGAAAGCATTAAGATTTTAATTGAAAAATCATTGAAGCTTTCATAGCATCCCCTTGTTTTGATACATGGACACATCACACGATACAAGTGACACTGTGCAACCCTTTGCATTCCTGGACCCCATTTCTTAGGGTTGTTTGGTTTTAAAGAACTTTCTAGCAAAAATATTGCTCAGTGATTCACTTGGGTTTTCTGTCAAATTAATTACAGGGTACTTTTCCCCCCTAGGAGGAAACCCAAGTTATAAAATGCCACAACTACTGCTGTCAAACATAGTAATTATATGCAAAACTAGGCTAAATTGAAACCAGCATAAAAAGGTATTATTTAAAGTGATCCTGTCATTTACTATGATATAGTTCATTTACAATATTTTAATTCTGAAAACTGCATTTCAGGCAATTGTTTGGCTGGGCTAATGCTACCAGGGGAGAATTCTTTGTCAGCAGGTATCCATTTCAGCTCCAAGGTTATGTACAGATATGAGTTTTCTCCCTGAAATGTATAGATGTTTTTGAAGCCATTCCCTATTCTTGCATATGTACAGAACACTCAAGTAAACAAAGTCTTTGTATTAAATATGCATGCGGTTGTTGTTTCCAGCCCATTTCTGCACAAGCGTTTTCCAAGAAGCTCTTGCATTTGCTGCTATGCAATGCTCCCTGATACCAGTCAGCCCAGCTGCAGCTTTCCCCAAAGTGAAAGCAGCAGGGCTGCAGAAGTACTTCAGAATTCTCCGGTGCTGTGCCAAGCAAGTTACAAAGATGGCTGCAGAAAAGCATTGCATAACTGTTCTCCTAGTTTCACTTACTGTATTTTAAGCACTTCCCTGCGCTTATTTTGTCCAATAGGCATTTGTGTCAAACCAAAGCACACAGATGCAACTAAATTTGTAAAAATATGGATACTAGGGCAAATTTTTGCATTCCAGAAGCAAAATTTTCCCGTATGTACCAAGCTAGGTACCAGGCAATGTACCAAGGAAAACGGACACCCAGGAGAGAAGCAGAGACAAGAAACCCATAGGTACTTTGCAGCATAGTAAATCATTAGTGTCCACATTTGATTTTGGCTTTGCAGAAACCTTTTAAATATACTTTTCTACAACTACCTGCAACCTTTATTTTCCATAAAATACATGAATCTTTGTAGATACCCCAATCCTTTTTCCTTCCCAATTCACTGCCTCTTTTCACCACTTATCAAATACCTGATTGCTAGAAGATTGCACGCTACTCAGAGTAGTAGCTGTACTACCCTTTACCTTGAGCTCTGAAACACCAGCTCCAACAAAAAAAAAAACCACCAACCACACACACAGACAAAAAAAAAAAAAAATCACTTAAGTGAGACACAAGAGGGGTGTGTGTGTGTTACTAAGGCTCTCCAACTTCTTGTAGAAACCAGAAGCTCTCATATGTAAGACTGTTTGTTTTGTTTTGTTTTTGAAAGAAGGGAAAGGCAAAGGACAGCTTTGTCCTGAAGAGTTACTACCTACCGGGAGTTCACTCCATGCGGGCTGAAACTCCCCACACCGCCGGGAACCTTCCCTGAGAGCGCGCTTCCCCAGGCTGCCCCGGCTTCCCCTCGGACAGCCCGAGGGTCACTGGAGCCGGCCGGACAGAGCCACGACCTGGCCAAACCTGGAGGATGAGTGCAGCTTACCACCAGATCTTGAGCTTGTCCTGACCTGCCTGCAGCTATGTTTTGCTTGGCACAACTGTGACAGCAATTTCTTATTCTATGTGGGCATGGTGGTATTGGGTTGACGGTTGGACTCAATGATCTTAGAGGTCTTTTCCAACCTTAATGATTCTATGATTCTTGAATTGACTGTCCGTATCTAATTTGTTTTACTTTCGTTTATCTTTGCACAGTACAACTGCAGTTTTATGTAGAGCGCAGCAACAAACAGTTGTTCTAGGTGGGATGAGATATTTAGTCCTCTTACACAATGACATAGTGAGGAGAAACACAGGCCTGGTACAACAACAGAAACCTTGCGATGTGAAGACACGGGATGAAAGATTGCAGGCAGGAGCGATAAGACGTGCAAGTGTTATGTGGATGACAAAATACCAATAAAACAGGAGCCTAAAGCATGGTGCAAAATTGTGCAAAGATGCATCAGCAGAGGCAGGAGGGGGAAATGACCCTTCTCTAGCCTATGCATGATAACCAGGTCAGGTCAGCCTATACTAGCCTGAAATATTCTCCTTATCGTAGATGCCTCTGGATTTGAACAAAGTAAACGCTGGGAGCTATTAGGAGCTGTTGCCACATTCTCCACAACACAATGTAACGCATGGCAGGAAGCCAGGCTGAAAAAAGCATTTTAGTGACTTAGATTCTGTTTCTATTCCCCTACTGGTGGCTGTTCAGGCTTCTTTTGCAAATTCAGACATAAGCTGAAGTTTCACTTTCTGGTTCCCATTACATTACTCATAGATCACATGAGGGCTGGAGCACATAAAAGGGAAGTCATAACAACAGTGGGCAGCACTCCTTCGGCTTTGAAGCTAACTTAAGACCACTGAAAAACGAAGGAAAACCATGAGGTAAGCAAGCAACCCAGCCTCTGAAAGATACTTTTTTGCTATGCCACAGGAAAATAATGCTTATTATTTACATAAATGTAAGTAGTGAGGGACTTTGGGGATCCAAACAGCAGAAAATATTTTACAGAATATTTACCGGAAGAATCAAAATAAAATAGGGATGCTATAGAATATTGTAATGTTATTGCTTCTCTGACAAAGGCCAGTCTCTGTGAACAGAACTGACAGTCAGAAAAACTGTGTGCATGCAGTTCAGGGCTGAAATCCAGGCTGCAGCCGTAGCTCGTGCCCAGCCAAATGGGTGACTGGCACTGATGCATTTGAGAATTTACTTTCTGATCTCTACTACTGCGTGGACCAGCAAAGAGAGCAGTGCAGGTTCTGGGCTGCAGCTTGGAGCATAGGGGGTGGGTAACATTTTCTGAAGACTGTCACGCATGCACAGAGGCGTGCACACGCACACTCAAATAGGGCACAGCCAAGATGTTTATGATAACTGGTAAATGCAGTTTCCAAAGTTATGTGTTGAACTAAGCTAAACTGTATTTAATCTGCATCATAAACCTGTTTTTGTGACATTCATGAATATTCATTTTCCACAAATGTCCTTTCATTAATTACTCTCCACTGTTGTTTTCAGCCATGGACAATGTCATGGTTCTCAGCTAAGGCAAGGAAAAACAACACACATTTCATTTTGAATTGAATGGGACTACTT